GTGGACAGGTGGTAGTGGACAGGTGATTGATAATGGACAGGTGATAGTGGCTAGGTATAGCAGGTGGTGTAGGACAAGTGATGTGCAGGTGGGTGGTCTTGATCCCTGCACCCTAGCAGCTCCCCCCCAGCAGCCTCCCCTGCCCTCAGAGGTGCACGTACAGGTGATGATGTACAAGTGGGCGGGCTCGCTGTGCACCTGGCCCTGCTCAGTGCCCTGCACGGCTGTCACAGAGAGCTGGTAGCGCCAGCCGGGTGTGAGGTCACGAACCACATAGGACAGCAGTTTTCCATTGGGGACATAGCGGCTCTTAGTGCTCTGGCTGGCTGTCACGTTAATGACGTAAGCCTCCAGGGTGGTGCCTGGGGAAGGGGCATCCCAGACCACGTGGGCAGAGGTGGCTGTAACCCGGGCAGCTGTCAGGTTTGCTGGAGGCAAGGGCCCTGGACAAGAAAAGAGAGGGGTGAGGATGGGGCGTGGGCACAGGCCTTCCTAGAAGGGCGTGCTCAATCCAAAGATAGACTGTGGTTCTCTCAACGTCCCTGGAGCCTGTACAAAGTCCCAGTGTCCCCGACTAAGCAGAGGGGCCAGTGCTGCTGGGTCTCAGCGAGACTTGAGCAAGGCTGCCCCCAAGCCTCCCTTCCTGCCCCCTGAGCTCCTGCCCCACCCCTCTCTGTCATCTGGGTCCCGTACCCTTCCTTACCCCCTGCCTCTCATCCTTTCCCTGTCCCTGGGACCCACCCTCTACCCCTTCCTGCCCTCCAGCACGCCACTCATCCTCCCTGCTCCTCCCCCAAGTGAGAGTGCCTGAGTTGCATAGGAAGAGTCCCTCTGCTCTAACCCTATACCTCATAGACCCACCTGTACCCCTTTACCTGCCCCCCTGTGGCCTGGCAGCCCACGACTGTTGCTCCCTCACTAGCTGTGGGTTGGAGTGGCATAGCAGGCAGGGGAAGCCTGTGGCCCACCCTTTATCCTGTGGAGCCCACTCCAGCAGAACTGTGGGGTGTCCTCGTCCAGTTGGGCTATGCCCTCTCTCAGTGGTTGTCGATGAAATAGCTTCCTGGAAGAGCCTTCAGGAGTGGGTGACCTGACAGTGTCCCAACACTGTCTTCCTACCAGCTGTTCCCAGAGTGAAGATGGCCCTGTCTGAGGGCCCTCAGCCAAAGGCTGATTCTGACATGGTCACACTGGAGGATCAAGACCTAGCAGGGAGCTTCTGGAAGGTTCTGCCTGGCTCAGGGGTCACGTCACTGTACTTACGTGTCCACACATGCAGCGGTGCAGCAGGCTGACTCTCGGCAGGGGCCTCCCTGGGGCTGAGGCCACTGAGGGCCACGACCTGGACCGTGTACCTCCTTCCTGGTTGCAGGGCCCTGCAGCGGGGAGTGGTACAGAGGGTGGACGCTCAGGGACTTGTGTTTGCTGGCGGCCTTGAGGGTGTGACCTGAGAGGGTGGATGTGGCCACCAGTGCCCACTATGGGCGCCCTCCAGTCATTCTTCAGAAATGCCACACCCAAACCAAACTGCCCTGGCCTGGTGTGAGCAGACAGCGGACCTTTAGGTTCATAGCCTGTCCCACAGTGCACCGCCAGGGCTCTTCTAGGGTTGCACAAAGTCAGGGAGCCAGAGCCTGGAGCCCCTGGACAAACACGCTTGGAAAGGTGCATCCAGGTGTGTCCGAACGTGGCTCCACGTTTGTCTGGGATGCTCAGACGTTCCCTGAGCTGACATGACGGCCAGTGGGAAGTCCTGCACATTCATGGTGCCACGTCCTTTCAAGTTCCAGAAACCAAGGGCCTACGACCCCTTGCAATGGACCTGGTACGTCTGTCTTTCTGTCCTTTGCCCCAACAACTCTGAGAGGTGGACCATCCCTGTGTTTGGGGACGTGCCTGCAGGTATCCGTGCTGGCAGGGACGTCCTGGAACGTCCTGTTGGCACCTCTCAGCAGTCACGCAGGGTGGAAGCCAGTTTGAAGGTCACTTATTTTGGGTTCTGTTGTGTATGATTTGAAATGAGCTTTATGCTAAAGTCAGAACAGGTTTCATTATTACCAGGGTCAACCTAAGGCAATCTGGGTGCCTTGGCAGCCCAGCGGGTACTCGCTTAGCTGCAGAGCCAATGGTTGGCTGTGTGAACTCACCAGCTGTGCTCTGCCCCACGGACCACTGAGCAGGTGTGGGCTCAGGATGAGGGGTACACCCTGCTCCCAGCACCTGCTTCTCCCTCAGCCCCAAGACCAGGCAGGAGGAAGGCCCCTGCCACCCAGGGGAGAGGTCAGTGTCCTGTGCACACCTAGTCAGAAACCTCAAAATGGTCCCGCCCCTCAAGGTGGGCCGGGGGAGGGGGCCATGCAGAGCAGGGTCTGGCAGGCGTCTCCCCAGCCCGTGACTCCTGCCCAGGGCCTGCCCTGTCTACAGGATTGCCGCTTACCTGAATGTGAACTTGTCCACACTCCTGTCCAGGTCAACAGACTGGTCTCCACCAGCCTCAGGGCCATGGATGGACACTCGGACTTTGGTGACTGTGGTGTGGTGGATCTGGTGCAGAGCCCAGCGCACTGAGATGGTGCTGGCTGTTGCATTGATCACTTCAAAACCCTCAACAGGGCGGGGACCTGGGGGTATGGGCTGCTCAGGCAGTGCCGACCCCCTGCTCCTAAGGGAGGCTTGGAGGTGACCAATCAGGTGTCTCCCTGACAGAGGTTGCCTGTGAGCTCCCCCTTCTGCAGTGAGCAGTAGACCCGGCCTGGTCCACGCTGGGGCCAGCGAGGAGGCCAAGGGGCACAGCAGAGAGTGTGCCCCCACCAACAGAGAGCAGACACCGAACCCACTGCACATCTGCCCTGGAGAATGGGCCCTGAGAACGGGAGGCTGGGCTTCCCTCTTTGGTCCCACATCGTGTCCCCCCCCCCCATTGAGGACGGCTCCCACCTCGCCTCCAGCTTTTAGGACATGGGCCCCACTCACGCGTGCGGACCAGCAGCACCACGGGCCGGCTGATGTCATTCTTGTTGTTGGTGTTTCGTTTGACCGAGAAGACAGAGATGCTGTAGGCCCGGCCAGCTGCCAGTGCCTGGAGCTGGTGGGCTGAGTGGCCGTGGTCCACGAAGTCCGTACGGCGGAAAGTGCCCTCAGCGGAGGCATAAGTGACTGCATAGCCATCCAGCATCTGCTGGGCTGCCGCGCCCACAGGGGGCAGCCAGGAAATGGACACTCTGCTCTCCTCCACCTGCTCCACCTTGAGGCCCGTGGGTGGGAGAAGCTCTGTGGCGGACACAAGGTGGTGGTCGGGGTCCACTGCTGCCCTGTGGGGACCCGACGAGGGCCATGGGCTCCTCACTGCTGTTGGCTGTGCCCATGCTTCCTGAGGGAGGTTCACACCAACCCCAGGGGAACCATCCACCCCCACTGCCCAGAGACAGCAGACCTGCGCTGGCCCTTGGCCCACCGGCTGTCCCAGGGCCCACGGCTCACCTTGGGCGCAGTTCTTGCCAGTGTACCCCACTTTGCAGGTGCAGCTGTGGGACCCGTTGTTGGCCAGGCAGTAGCCACGGCCCCCGCAGGGGCTGGAGAAGCAGGGGTCACTCACTGCAGGCCACGGACAGGGAGCAGCATGAGGGCTGGCAGGACCATAGCCCCACAGGGTCGAGGTCACTACTGGCTGTGCTGGCTGAGGTATCAGCAGGCTGTGCCCACGGAGCCCAGTTCAGGCCGGGGGGGGTCAGTCCAGTGGGGTGAGCCTGGCATGTAGTGTGGGGAGGGGTGGTACCCTTCCTCCACTCGTGCTCCTGGGAGAGGGGCAGGGGAGCCAGTGGCCTGGGCAGGGGCTGCCCTACCTGCCTACCTGTCTCACAGTGGGAGCCAAAGAAGCCCTCAGCACACACGCACAGGTAGGCCCCCTGGTCGTTCTTGCAGGCCCCTCCATGCTGGCAGGGGCTGGAGTCGCAGGCGTCCACCTCTGGGGAACACACAGTGAGCCTGAGGTCAGGACCTGGGGTCAGGGCCTTGGGGAAGGAAGGGCAGGGCCACGGGGATCTGGAGTGGCAGGGTAGGGGAGCAGAAGGGAGATGCTGTGAGAAGCAGACTTGGAGAGGGGCTGGGAACTCCCTGGAGGCACTCAGGTGTTCAGGTGAGACTGGACTCCTGGCCCAGGCCCCAGCAGTGCCCCTAAGTACCCTCTAAGCCCCAGCCATTGTGCTGAAAACACATTGCGGGTATCCCAGGGTAAGAGGAGGGTAAGGGGCTGGCTGTGGGGACCCATCTATGGGCACTCTCACCTGTCTCACAGTGGACCCCAACATAGCCTGATGGACACTCGCAGAGGAGGGCTCCCCGGAAGTCCCTGCAGGAGCCCCCGTTCTGGCAGGGCTGTGAGGCACACATGGTAGTCTCTGTGGATGGGACACAAAGCTAGCCCATACCCCATGGCTTCCAGGGATGGCCACCCCAGTGTGGGGTGACTCACCTTCCTGCCTCACGTCTCTGCACTCCGAGTCTGCTGGAGGCAAGACCTAAGTCAGAGGGGCTTCAGCCTCAAGTCCCCAGACCAACCTAAGCCCATCCTTCCGCTTGTGCTGCTTGTGCTGACCTTTAAGACCATGGCCCCTGGACTCCCCACCCCCACTGTGGGTGTCCTCACTCCCCTCTCCCACACTCACCCCTCTCACAGTGGGTGCCCTCATAGCCTGTCCTGCAGATGCACTGGTAACCGGATATGTGGTCCAGACAGGAGCCCCCATGCAGGCAGGGCTGAGAGCGGCACTCGTCCACTTCTGCTGGGGCCAGGCCAGGAGGAAAGCAGACCTTTAGTTTTGGGCCAGTTCTCAGAGCCAAATAGGTACAAATGATTTTGGCTTCAAGGAAAGCAGTGGAAGTGCTTTGCAGTGGAGAGCAGTTGTGTTTCAGACCCTCGAGGAAGGGAGCAGAAAGCCTCTCAAGCATTCTGTGAGTGGAGCTGTACCCACCCCTCCCCGCGTAAGTGCTGGGCCTTGCCAGGGTACACACTCCCATGAGGCTGGGCCGCAGACACCTGCAGGGACGGGGCCTTGCTTCTGCTCATTCTGACGTCCCCCAGGAAACTCTGTTTTATTTAACACCACATTGTATTAGAGGAGTTTGTGTGTGTCCTGTTGTTTTTAGAGAAATTACTTTCCTTGTTTGCTAAAAAATCTCCCTCGTGAGTGAATATGAATGTTATCAAATGCTGAGGACACACTTACTGAGAGTCTCCCATGATTTCTCCCTCCTTTGTCAGTTGGTGTAGTAGCAGATTTTCTAACACACCTTGGGGACCCCTCGTATGATACTGGTGGATGTTGTTTTGATGGAACTACTGACAGACTGTGAGTCACTATTGTGTTTAGTTTTGCACCTGTATTTATGTTTCTTGAACTCACGAGTTTCCTTTCCCTACTGTCCACTTCTGGTTTTCATAAAAAGATTTTATTGACCTTAGAGGGTAGGTTGACACATTCTTTATTTTCTACTCTCTGGAAAAGTTTGGGGGATACTGCAGTGACCTAATTCTTAGTAGTACGGTAGAATTTACCTATAAAATTTGGTGTGGTCTTTCCTTTTGAAAAAGTATTGTTAAGTACTGCTTCAGTGTTTTTAAATAGTTGATGGGGCTTTGCAGCCTTTCTCTTTTTCCATATGTCACTTTTGGGCAGCTAGATGTGTTGCCTATTTCTCTGAAGCTTTACCATTATTTATATGGAATGGTTGGTAGTATTTCCGTATCTTTCTTTTTTAAAAAAATTTTACTTTATTATTTTTTGTGTGTGTACCATCAAAATGGATCTGACAGGTACAGGAGGAGATTGTCCCTCCTTCTCCATGAAAACATCTGGTGGATTCAAACTGTGTACTTCTGGGATTACAGTGTAGTTTCTTGCCACTAGGCTACCAGAGCTCCCTATATCTTTCTTGATGCTGCTGTAGCTTTATGTCCCCTTTTTAATTTAAAAAGGTTTTTATTTTTGCTGTTTGTTTTTATTGATTAGTCTTGATAGAGGATTGTCTATTTATTTATACATTTCAAATAATTCATTATGGCTATGTTGACCTTTTCTCTTATGTCTTAGATTTCTCTTTTATGAATCACGGGTCATCTCTTTGTGGTTGTTCTTTTTGGTATCATTTAGTATAATTTTCTAAACTTCTAAAGTCATAAATGTGACTCATTCATTTTGAAATTTTCCTCTTTCCAATTTAAATAATGAAATTTCTCATGAAATTATTTGCTTCCTCAGGTTATACAAGTTTTGATATAGAAATTTCTCATGAAATTATGCTTCCTCATATTATACAAGTTTTGATATAGAAAGTACTTACTCTTATTTATTTTTAAATATTTTATGCCCATTACTGGTTGTTTGGTGGTGTTGGTTTTTTTTTACTCAGAAGTATTTGTAAAAAGTTTAAAAGACTCAAACATGGAGACTGAAAAATGTTTCTTTCTCCTAATAACTAAGCTGCTTCTATTCAGAGAGCTGAGATGTGTGGTCTCTAACTTTTGCACTTGTCAGAAATGCTTGTTCACAGCCCAGCACGTTACGGGTTATGTGATCAGCGTAGTGTCCTTGGGAAGCATGAGTGCCTGCTAGCTAATGGGTGCAGGATCCCACTTGTCACCCTGACAGAAATGCCTTTTTTAAAAAAAATTATTTTATTTCTTTTTGTGTGTGTGTATACCGTCAAATCAGATCTAACTGGTACAGGAGGAGATTGTTCCTCTTTCTCCAGGAGAGCATCTGGTGGATTCAAACCATGCATCTCTGAGATTGCAGTTGCAGCTTCTTGCCACTAGGCCACCAGAGCTCGCCCAGAAATGCCTTTGAGTGAGGTTTATGCACTGCAGCCAGATCTTTGCACTTTGTTGGTGCCGTGGAGTCCAAGCCTGCCAGCAGTTGGGAGAGGTGGCTGGACACAGCTTTCGTTAGGACATTTGTCCTTCTCTTCTGAAGTCTGGGGGTTTGCTTCCTATCGAGGCTGTGGCTTTAGACCCCCGAGCATTGGAGATGGTTAAACTGAGTCAGCGTCACCAGGTGTGACCCTCTCCTCCATCGCTGATTTTGTCTTTAGGCTCTTTTACTGCTATTACAGCCATACAGTTTTGAGATGGTTTGTCATTCCCTGATGGGATTTTCCATCCTTTCACAGCAGTCTCTCTCTCTCTCTCTCTCTCTCTCTCTCCCTCCCTCTCTCTCTCTCTGTGTAGGGAGGCTGCTGAGCCTGGCACCTCTCTGCCTGGGGACTGTCCTGGGTCCTCCCCTTGGCCTGGCCAGAAGCCCTGTGACTGTTGCCATCACAGGATTGATGAGAGGAGGACAGTGGGCAGAGGCATCACTGTGGCAATAAGGACACTCCCTGCAGACCCACAGCATGGGGGCCACTTGGCCTGGCTTACAGGTAGCCCCCGTCAGCGGTGGGAGGCCACATGCCCTGTCTTGCACACTCAGGCCACCTCCTGGGATTCCTTCAGTCCATCGCAGCAGGAACATTTCTTTCCACCTGTCTGGAACCACCCCCTCACCCCCACACTCCCTGCTCTCCTCCTCCGGAACTCTGCACGTGGAGGAGCCCTGACTTTGGGCACTGGCTGCCTCCTTTTTTCCTCAGGGGACTCTGTTCACACCCTAATAAAGACAGCATGCATGGCGCAGCCTTGCCCCCATGAGATGCTCACCTGCCTGGCACCAGTGCCCAGTGAACCCTGCTTGGCACCGGCAGGAGAAGTCTGTGCCCAGGTCCTCGCAAGTGGCCCCATTTAAACACGGGTTCCGGAAGCAGGGGGAGGGGGCTGCAGGAATGGGAAGTTACAATGCCCAGGGGCCCACTTGACCCCGGCCTGGCTGGCCTGCCTGCCCCCCACGCTCACCGGTCTCGCAGTGGCGGCCAGAGAAGCCCGGTGGACACTCGCACTTGTACTTGCCGATGTAGTGGAAGCAGGTGCCGCCATTGTGGCAAGGTGCCGAGGCGCACGAGTCTGGCTTTCCTGTGGGGAGCGTGTGGGTCAGGGCTCCTCACCTGCCCTGGCAAGCTGCTTCTATGAGGACACTGGCCAGGGCTCAGCACCTCAGTCACCCCCCCCCCACACACTCCGTGTCCACACACCAATCTCACAGTGCCGTCCAGTGAAGCGGTAGGGGCAGCTGCAGAGGTAGCTGGCCTCGGCCTCCTTGCACGTGCCCCCGTTCCGGCAGGGCGCTGAGCTGCACAGGCGGGGCCTAACTGTGGGAGACAGTGTCAGAGTGGGGTCAGTGAGCAGAGACTGGCCGCCCGCGCAGTGCACGACACTGGTGTCCTCGGGGCTCTGGGGCCTTGGTGGTTCTAGTGACTCACTGCATCAGGCCACTCAGATTAGGCAGCACAGGGCAAAGCCAGCTGTACCCATCCTGGAGAGGACTCCTGGTGTGAAGTCATTTAATGTGCTAATTCCACAAGGCGAGTTAGGAAAGCGCTGAGCAGGACAGTGGAGCAAACCAGCAGGGGTGCCTCCCTCAACAGAGCAGGGACAGGCACATGAGGTACTGTTCCCCAAGACTAGTACTGCGTCCAGCTCAGGAGCTCAGAGAAAATGAGATTTAGCTGGGAATGTGGAGGGAAAATGTGTGCTGGTGCCCTGAACACCACCTCCCTGCAGCTGCTCTCCAGGATGCTGACCGGCCCTGGAGGGTGGGCAGGAGACTCATGGGGTGTTGACCGGCCCTGGAGAGAGGGCAGGAGGCTCTGGGGTGCTGACTGGAGGTGCGCTGTTGGGGGTGGGCAGGCAGCCTACCTTTCTCGCACTGCTCGCCATGGAAGCCCCGTGGGCACTCGCACGTATAGGAGTTCTCGTGGGCATCACAGGAGCCTCCATTGAAGCAGGGGTCCGAGTCACAGGGTGACGGCAGGGCTGAGGCAGGGACAGAGCACGTGTGTCTTCCGAGGGCTGCCCTGCCACCTTGCCTAGACTAAAGGCCATTGAATGCACTGGACTCCGTCCTCCCTCATGCTGGGTGCGCTCTAGTCTCAATCCTACAAGCCTCAGCCTCCCTGTCTGGCCTCGTGTCACCCTCGCACCGTTGTCTATAGTTACACACCTCACAGTACTGACAATGCACCTGCAGCCCAAAGCCATGGCTGTCAAGTCTATTCCAGCCCTTGGCCGTCCTACAGGACTGCTTGGTACGGTGTCTAAGGACACAAATCTTTGCAGAAACAGACCAATTCACTTTTCTCATGTGAAGCAGCTCGTGGATTTGAACTGCTGGCCTTTCAGCTAGCAGCCAGGCTGCTTGTCACCTGTGCCACTGTGTCCTTAACAAGTACCAGAGTGATACAGATGCCATGCACTTACATCTGCAGCTGCCGCGAGCCAGCTGGGCTCCCAGTGGCCACTACACTGGGCTGGATCACTGGATCCAGATGGCGTTCTCTGACAGGCTTTCAGAAGCAGACCGTCAGGCCTTGCTTCCTTGTCTGTCTTAGTCTGGAAACATTGTAGCAGCACCGGTGAGTTGTGGCTACATTAGCTGGAATCTGAACTGGGATCTCTACCCCAGGAAGCCAGTGTTCTACCCCAGAGCCGCTACCCCTCTGCCCTTTAGTGTTTTTTTTTTTATATTTAATTTCTTTATTTTTCATTTCAGTGAACATCTACAGAGATTTTGGAATTCCATTCATTCACTGTTGCACCCCTCTCCCTGCCCCCCCACCCCCCATCCCCTGCCCTTTAGTTTTTAACAACATACATAAACACTATATGCTTTAGTCGGCAGCTCTGGTGGCCTCATGGTAAGGAGCTGCGTCACCAACCTAAAGACACGCAATGTGAATCCAGCAACTGCTTCATGGGAGAAAGGTGGACCATCTCTCCCTGTGGGATTTACTGCCTCTAAACCCAGGGAGCCTCTGCTATGGGTCAGTTCTGACTTAACAACAAACAACAATGCACTAATTATGTAATTATGTGTAATTAGATACATAACTGGGTGAGGTGAGCAGTTAAACGCTCTGCTGTTTACTGAAGGGCCGAGCTCCACATCCACCACAGGGGTCCTAGGTCCACCCACAGGGGTCCAAGGTCGCACTCAGGGGCCCAAGGTCCACCCCTAGGGGTCCAAAGTCCACCCTCAATGGTCCAGCACTCACACACAGGGGTCCAAGGTCCACCCGCAGGGGTTCAAGGTCCGCCCGCAGGGGTCCAAGGTCCGCCCGAGATGGTCCGGTGCTCACACACAGGGGTCTGGCATGGCAGTGTCCTGCACTGCTAGACCACAAGCCCTGGGGCAGGCTTGTACGTCGACCCTGGTGTGCCGACTTGGAGCTCTGTCCCCATTGCTGTCATAGTTGGGATTAGTTCAGGAGGCCTGAGTGCCCCACGCTCATTCACTTTCAGAGATGTCTCTGACCATGCGGGGGTAAAGCGGGTCCAGCCCATCTGCAGATGCACCAGGCTCAAGGAAGACCCTGCCTCTAGGCCATGGCCAGTTCCTAGCAGCAGCCGCCCAGCCCTGGCCAGTTGCCAGTAGCTGCCCGGCCCTGGGAAATCCCCAACAGCTTCCTAGCCCTGGCCAGTTCCTAGCAACAGCCACCAGTCCTGGGCAGTCCTTAGCAATAGCCGCCCAGTTCTGGGCAGTCCCAGGCAGCTGCCTGGCCCTGGCCAGCTCCCAGCAACAGCTGCTGGCCCTGGGCAGTCCCGGGCAGCTGCACTCACAGTGGCTCACGTTGTGTTCCGAGTGGCAGACGCAGAGGTAGCTCCCGCCGTACTCCATGCAGTAGCCTCCGTCAGGACACTGGGTGTTCATGTTGCAGGGTGTGGTCGTGACCTCTGCGAGGGGAATAGGCCCACATTCGAGGTGTCCTCCTGGGAAGCTGCTGTCCCAGGGGCCACACCCACACAGGTGACCTGCTTGGGCACATGGTGGTCATGGGAACATGTGGAATGATGGACCCTGACTGAGCTCCATTCATTCACTTCCTGGCTCACCACTTTTGCCCACCTGTACCCCACAATGAGGTTCCCAAGGGTCAGCAGGGTAGGAAGGGGTCCTGCTCTGCCTCTGGCCACTTACCAAACTCACAGAGAAGCCCGAAGAAACCTGGGGGGCACTGGCAGAGGGAGCTGTTGGCAGCCAGGCACCTGCCTCCATTGCGGCATTCACAGTCAGAGAGTCCTGCCAGGAGGGGTTCCCGTGGGTGAAACCCCAAGTCCATATGCTCAGCTGCTCAGTCACACTCACTGTTACACACAGACTCTCCTACACACATATGCACACTCACACCTCATACACTCTCAGGCGTGTCTGCACACCAACACAGTTGCTTCCAGTCCCTAGCCCTAGCCCACATGTACTCTCTCCACAGTGGGGACCCACGAAGCCCCTGGGGCACTTGCACACAAAGCTCTGGTCAGCACCCACGCACATGCCTCCCTTCTGGCAAGGGGCTGAGCGACAGCCAACAGATTCCAGGCGGATTCCTGCAGGAAAGGTAGGAGGGGAGCGAGTGGAGGGTCCGAAAGCCAGGGGCTGGCCGCCTGGGCAGTTCACTCTGCCAGTTCCCCAGGGACAAGGCAAATGAAAGCAGGAGGCATAGGCTGCAGAACGCCGTGCCCCGGAGAGTCTGACCACACCCCTACCTGTCCATGCCTGACACTTTCCAGGTATGTCTCCTGGCTGATACCTAGGTCAACTCTTCTGTGATCACAGAGCAGTCATTTAAAATGGCCCAAGCTTTAACAAGACAGCTGCTTGGGGAGAATGGGCCCTGCACACTTGATTATGTGATAAGATCCACATTTATACAAAGAAAACCTTTAAATAGAACCATATTCAAATTTATACACTAACCACTAACGCCAAAGATGGAGACATTGGGCATGTCCCCACTTCTACGTGCAGCTCTGGTGGTATGTACAGTCGCTAGGGAGTTGTGCTGCTAGCCCAAAGATGGCACCTTGTCGGTTCAAATCCACCTGCAGCTCCACTGGAGAACAATGGGTTATCTCCTCTGCTGCAATTTATAGCCTCAGAAAACCCTCGGAAGGGTCAGCTGTGAGTCTGCTCTGACTCCATGGCAATGGCTTTAATTTCGACCACTCCTGCAGTCAGCAATTGATCAAATGTGCAATCTAGATGCATTCAAAATGGTTGGTTATTGGGATGCAAAAGCTGAAAACAAAGAAATATTTTTAGGTGTTCTTGAGTGGACTATGCCTCATAGTGACCCTATGAACAGCAGATGGAAATGTGGCTAAATTCTGTGCCTTCTTTACTATTTGCAACATGCTCAGACATGCTGTCACAGCCACTGTACCAGCCCATCTTGTCGAGGGTCTTCCTCCCTTTCTCTGACCACCTTCCCAGCATGAGGTTTTTTCCAAGGACTTGCCTTTCCTGACAACACTCCCAAAGTGTGCAATGGAATTTCCCCCTCTTTGTCTTGGTAGTGTAAACGAGGCCAGAGATTGCCTGATAGAGTTCTGTATGACCAACACCTCACCTCATTCATGGCAAATACAGCTCCTGAAAACAAAGGTGAGGATACTGCTGCATGGAACACCCAACAACCAATAAACTTGTGGAAAGAGATATCAGTATCATCAGTCGGAGTAAGACTGGGGCCACCTGTGTAACAGGCCATTAATGGTTCAGTTGCAAGTTCAAATTGAAGACCAGAGCAGTTCAACAAGAACCCAAACATGATCTTGAATTTAGATTCGATCTTTTCAACATTAATTCTCAGAGTCTAGTTGAATTGTGGAATGGTATCAAGGGCATCATACCTGAAGAAAGCAAAAGGTTATTAAAAAGGAAAGAAAGAAAACACCAAAGTGGATGTCAGAAGAGACTCTGAAAATTGTTCTTGAATATAGAGAAGCTAAAATGAAAGGAAAAAGTGAGGAAATAAGAGTGGGACAGACTCTTTCTAAGGGCAGCTCAAGAAGACAAAGTATTATAATGAAACCATGAAAGATGTGGAGTTAGAAAACCCAAAGGGTAGAAGGGAAAACAATGATTGCGTTTCAACAGTGTGGGATCCAGTTACTGAATGATGCAGGAAACATCTAGAGAAGATGGGAAGAACACACAGAGTCACTGCACCAAAAAGAAGAGGTGAACGTGACCATTTCAGGAGGTGGTGCATGGTGACAAGCCAGAGGTGCCGAGGAAGTCCACACTGCACTCAAGGCTTTGGCAGAAACCTGAATACCATTTGAAGTGTTTAAAAGAATCAGAGGCATAGAGAATGGAATGCTCCCTGTGCCACGAGATTTGGAAGACAGCTGCCTAAGCAGCGTGGAAGAGATCTGGTGGTGTGTCCAGTCCACGGACAGGTGAGCGATCAGAATGCAAGAACGATAGAAAAATATCATTAACAGTACATGCAAGTACACTCGGACTGAATATAATTAAAAAACTGTTGGAGTAGCACAACAACAGGGAACTGCTAGAAGTTTAGACTGGACTAGAAGAGGATGTGGAAGGAAGGACATCATTACTGACATCAGATAGAGCTTGGCTGCAAGCAGAGACTCCAAGACAGATGTTATGGATTAAATTGTGTCCCCACCAAATACACGTATTAGTGATAGATTGTGGTTACCATGCAGTGACCCTGACATCTCCTAACCAAGCAGCCGCAGGAGGGTTAAGGGTGGAACTGTGGCCCAGAGGCCTTTCTCTCACAAGATAAACACGTGATCCAGGGGCAGGAGTCCCAGCACCAGGAGTGAAGTGGGTCTTTTTGGACCCAGGCTCCTCCTGTTTGTCACGAGGGCCAGAATGGATGGAGGTCTCCAAGGAGTGCTGTGGCAACTGTTATTAAGAGGGACAAGGCCTTTCATGACATAGATGGCCTTCCCCCAGAGCCTGAATCCTGAACTTGGACTTGATAGTAAATTGCTGTTTATTAAAGCAATCAGCTTGTTGTATCTGGTACAGCACCATTAGGCAGTTGAGACAGACGTGTTTTATTTCACCTTTGTTAATAGAGGTGTTAATATTGGACTGTGTCAATCAGACAAACTATGGATAATATTGAAAAGAATGGGAATTCCAGAAGGCAAAACTGTGCTCACGTGGAACCTGCACCCAGGCCAAGTGTCTGAACTGAACAAGGAGCCACAGGATGGTTTAAAATCAGGGAAAGCATGTGTCAGGGTGGGACATTTTTATCACTTATTCAATCTGAACGCTGTGCAAATAATCTGAGAAGCTGGTCTATAGGAAGAAGAAAGTGGCATCAGGATTGGAAAAAGATGCATTCACAATCTGTAATATAGAAATGACACAACTTCACTTGCAAATGAAGATTTGAGACACTTACAAATGGAGTTCAGTGGCTACAGCCTTCCATAAGGGTTATACTTCAACCTTCAGGGAACAAAACTCACAACCAGACCAATTAACAACATAATGATAAATAGAAACAAAATGAAAGTTGACAAGGATTTCCTTTTACTTATCTCCACAATCATCACCCTTGGAGGCAGCAGTCAAGAATAGCTGGGTCTTTACAGAGTTTCTATATCCAGTTTGGGGGTTTTTATGTAGAGCTTTTTGAAGAAACTCCAAACTGCCTTCCAGAGTGGCAGTATCATTGCACAATCCCACCAACATTGTATAAGAGTAAGGATGGCAATGGAACCACCTTACCTCTGTAACTTGATTTGTGCCACTATTAGAACCTCTACTCAGAATATTATTGCTTTTCAATTTTTGGCTCATGCACTTTTAACTTCTTAAATTTGTATCTTCTAGGCTGCAACATTTCCATGATACATCTTCAAGGATATGAACAT